ACGAAAGAGGATTTCCAGAACTGTTTCAGGAAGTGACAAAAATGATGGGATACATGGATACATATTTTCAATCTGAGGGAGAGCATTTTAAGGGGAAACAATGGTACGTGCGTCTTGAAGCATTCACTACATTTATCACCTTCGTATCTTTCCTTGCATTTTCACAGGTTTCAACAATAAGCATGATTCATTTTTGTATTCTAATAAGAGTTGGTTTTTGTTGTGCGGGTTTTGAGGGGTTATTTTAGTTATCTTAAAGATAATAAAAAATAATAAAAATGATACAGAACTTCAAAACAAGATAGGAAATCAACAATGGTTGTTATATTGCATATTGTTATCTTCAAAGTAGTTTTTCAGGTTACCGGGTACAGGCGTGCAGAACTGACCAAACAATGAGGCATTTACTGTTCCTTTCAATAAACCAATAGACATTAGTAGTACAGTTATCTTAGCTATCTTGTGTGTTTGTGTGTGTGTGTGTGTGTGTGTGTGTGTGTGTGTGTGTATTTTCCCCCTTCTTTCTTTCTCTTCCCCTTATTCCAGGTGTTCTTTCCTTTTGAGCAGTTTCTTTTTCTTTCTTTCTTTCTTTTTTCTTTTTTTTTTTTTTTTTGGTGGAACCGGGGATTGAACTCAGACCCTTGTGCTTGCCAGGAAAGCGCTTGTTCCACTGAGCCATCTCCCTGGCCCCAGTTTCTTTCTCTTTCCCAGTATCTATTGTACCTTTCCGATTTTATTTACTCTTTCAGTTTCTTACACTAGGGAAACAATACAGTGTTTACATTTGTGGATCTGATTTATTTCATTTATGAGTATGGTCTCTAGCTGCATTCAGTGTTGTGGCTTTTAAAAGTTTTATTTCCATAAAGTAAACAAAAGTAAAATAAAATATTTATTTATTAAAATAAATTCTCAAAATAGGCCTATTCCCAGTAAACTAGTAAATTCTTTAGCTCCAACCTCAGTGGGGTAGAAGCTATAAAAACAGTTAATTTCAAATACTATTTTCAATAAAATTTTGAGATAGATATTATAATCGCTTTTGTATACAGCGGAGGGCTAAGTAACTCTGAAGTTATGCATCCTACCAAATCCCAACCCAGTTTGTTTTGTGTTGAGCAGTACTGGGGATTGAATCACTGAGTAATGTTCCCAGTCTATTTTTTATTTTCTATTTTGAGACAGGGTCTCATTAAGCTGCCTGGGCTGAACTCAGGCCTGCAACCCTCAGGCCTCAACCTCCCAGCCATCTCACACCTTTTCAGCAGTGAGACATGGGAAGGAAAACAGGTACATGCATGTGACCTACCTCGAGTTGGGGCCCCGACCAGCAGCACGTGTGTCAAGCTCCCATTTATCATGACATGGCCACTCGACAGGGACGTGCCCAGCTTCCCCATTGCCTGTGAAAGGCGACAGGTCAGTGTCACGCAGCTAAGAATTCTTCACTAGTGTGCTCTGTCCTGGGGAGGGAGGGCTTGCCATACCTTGTCCCCAGCAATGGCAAACCTGCTTTGAGAGCTGGGCGGGAAGTAGCCGTACACCTTGCCAAGGCTCTGGGTGTCGCTGTGCTGGCGGTATGAGCGGCTCGACCTGAAAGAGGCAGTGGGCTGAGCTCTGGGCACGGAGTACAGAGTGGCCCGGGATTTACCCTCCCACGGCTCCCATGCACCCTGTCCTGTGACACCGGCCCTGGTGGGGGCGACCACTGGAGTTGATCCCAGCAGTATCCAGGTTCTCCAAGTCCCTCAGCCACGATTCTGCCTCCCACCTGACAGCAAATACGGGAACACTACTGTCGCAGGAGGAAAGGTGCTGACAGTTTTAAATTCCTGGGCTCATGAGTGGCACTGCATTTGGGGATGGGCTAAAGAAGAGACCGAGCTAAAATGAGGCCACTAGCTGGGCCCTCCCTCCCCTGTGCTGACTGGTGTCCTCACAAGGTCAGATGAGGACACAGACAGGTCCAGAGGGAAGGCACAGGTTAGGCCAAAGAAGGCTTTGGAAGAAGCCAAGCCTTGGTTTCCACTTCCAGCCGTACCTGCTGGCGTTCTTCCAGGTTGGGCTCCCCACCAGCAGCAAGGTTCGGTTGTTCACCGTGGCACTGTGTAGGGAGTAGCCAAACCAGGCGAAGTCCTCCTCGCCTCTTACCAGCCAGTCAGCCGCCTCCACACTCAGCTGTCCTGAAAGAGATAGCAGCCCCTCTACAGTCAGTGAGGCCTGTGGGGCTGACGAGACACAGGCTCATTCCCTGAGCTTGCCCCAGAACTCAGATTTCATACTGAACCCAGTATACCAGTGTCAGACACAGACCCCACTTTTTTACACCTTGATGTGTTCTACGACTCAGGTCTGTGGGGTGGGGGTAACATTTAGAAGGGTCCCTCTCTGGACAGGTCAGAGCAGACCAGGCAGCCCAGGGTCCTAAGCTGCCTCTTGCAGACTATGACAGTAACCTGCTGCCTCCCCCTGCCCCGGGATCTGGAGCAAGAAATGGGGTCCCAAGGGACTGGGGAGATAGCTCAGTAGAATAAGCACTTCCCTGGCAAGTGCAAGGGCCTGAGTTCAATCCCCAGTCCTGGAAAAAAAAAAAAAAAAAAAAAAACAAGAAATGGGGTCCCTTTTGTACACTCGAAGGTCTACCCGCAGCACTTCCTAGACCATCTCTAAAAGACTGCTGGAAAGTTTTGGTGACACTGTATAGAAGAAAAAGGACATAAGGAGAAGCATCGAGACAGAATGAGGAGCCATATCTGTTCCCTCCCCCGCAGGGCTCTACCTTTGCTCCTTCGGTGGGGACCAGAATAAAATGCAGCCACCATGCCTTTCTGCTTCCCTCCACTGGGCGCAAAAGGTGAGCCAATGACCAGGTCGGGCTCACAGTCACCACTCACATCTGCAGCCAGGAGGGTCCAGCCCAAGTTACAGTAGACATCCTGCGGGGGAACCAGGAGCATGTTTGACTGGCCGTGGAGGGGCGTGCAGAGAGCCAGCTTCCCACACCTGGCCAAGGTGCCCAACGTACCTGGCAGGAGATGGTGATGTCAGGGGAAGAAGGCAGCCTTCCTCCTTTGGGACCAAAGTAGATGTACACTGCGCCCTGAATGAAGACAGACGGTGGCAGACTGGAGTGCTCAGATGGGCACAACTGCCTTCAAAAGCTGACTCTGAAATTAACCCCTGCCATTCCCCTTGGGCCTCACAGACCCATCCTGGGCCCTGCTACTGGTGGCATTAAAAAAAATAAAATAAAATAAAAAATCTGTCCCTTTCAACATAATAAGAGCCCCCAAAGCAAAACTGCCATGTCTATTCTCTGCCTCCCGACATCGTGCTCTGCGTTGGTCAGATCACTGTGCAGTGTGTTTGCAGGGTGACTTACTCAACTCCTGTACCCCCCCAAGGCCCTGCTCACTGTCAGCATCTTCCCCAAAGCCTCCCTGTCCAGCCCATCACTCCGCTGAGGATCGCACCACACACAGCACCTCTGTCATTCACTGGCCAGCAGACGACGCGTGGTGCTATTTCTCAGTGTGGTGAGCCTGTTCCTTCTCTTCCCCTGTCTCAATCCCCACTGACTCTATAAGCATTTGCTTCCCATCTGTGCCAAGATCCAGGCACACAGTGGCAGGCAGAACCCATCTCTGCTCTCTCCAGAGCTGGTGCACAGCTGACGGGGATGCAGTTAAGGAGGGGGAAGTGTGACAAGAGGTGGTACAGCCCCATGGAGCATCAATTGGCCCTGCCCAGGGATTATGTACCACTGCCTCCAAGGGAAGATCGATGAAAGCTGGGCAAGCAAAGGTCCTGTAGTGACAGAGTCTGCCAGGTGAGCTCAGGAAGAGACAGAATTTTTTGGAAGTAGAATGTGAAAAGGACCAGCCTGAAAGGGTAATAGAAAAAGGCCTTTGACCTCCAAGGTCACAAAGCACCAGGCCTCAGGTGGTACTGTGATGTGAAGGACAAGCAGAAATCAGCCCTGGGGCACTGCCTGCTATCCTGGCTCTTGGTAAGAAAACTGGCAGCAGGCAGTTCTGGTCATGAAAAGTGAGGCCCCAGGGAGTCCCTGCTGTGAAAGCAGGAAGCTAGCAACACATCAGCTGCCATTTGTCTCCCTTGCTAGATTTCACTTTGGGGTAGTATAGAAAGAAAGACAGAAAGACCTGGCAGAAGTAAGGCCAGGGAGGCGGGTACACTTGCCATGTTGTAACTTGAGGTCACATCAGGAGCCAGCTGGGGATCTGAGCTGGGTTGGCTCATGAGGGGCATCCACCCAGCTTCAGGACTCTCCCAGCTGGGCTCCCTTGCACCCCACTTCCCTTGACCCCTCCAGCCTTACTGTGTATGTAAGCTGATCCGAGCCCACTGAGGGTGCTCCCACAGCCAGGTCAGGCACCCCATCCTTGTTAAAGTCCAGCACAGCCACAGCGGAGCCAAAGCGACCTGAGGGCTAAAGAGACACGGGTTATGTTCTGAGCTCAGACCTGGCCTGGGCCAAGCTCTGAGGCTCCCTGAACAGAGAGCCTGATGCCACCCACTACCAAGGCTGAAGGCTCTCAACTCCCAGCCTGCCACACAGGTGTGACAACAGAGGAGCAGCTCTGCCCTGGGGGTTGGCACACGTCTGTCCACCTTGAGGGGCCACTGGTGGACCAGAAGCAGCTGAGCCCAGTTATAGTTTCAGGTTAGCAGAAGATGGGTCTTGTGTGCTTTCCATTCCAGAGCAAAACACCAGACTTCCTTCAAAAGGGTCTCCAGCAAACACTGCATACACCAGCAGCTGACAGGGGTTGAACACTCCGCATATTTTAGAGCCATGCTGCTCCATGAGTACCTGCTCGCTAAATATGGCTATCTGAAATGATTAGCATTAATGAGTTAAAAATTCAGCTTTTCATTTGTACTGAGCACACCTCAGAGGCTCAGAAGCCCTCACTTAGTGGCCCCCAGACTGGATGCACAGCTCTAGAACATTCCATGCAGGAAGTCCATTCCACAGATGTGCTGCAGTACACCACTTCATCTCACTGGACAGAGATGAAGGTGGGAACTGGTTCTATTCCCAGAAAACTCCCTCTCTTCTATGACAGTTGTCCTCCTACTTGGATTCTTCTTTCCATGGTCTAAATAATATCCCTGTCAGCCTAAAAGTAACTTATCAGTTCTCCAGTTCTCACACAACCTATCCCACAAGAGAATCTCACACCGTGACACTTGCGATACTGCCTGTGTCCCAGGGCCCCGATACTGCCTGTGTCCCAGGGCCCCATTCGTGACTTATGAGGTCACTGCTTACATTAGTGGTACCTGGAAACACTTTCTGACATGGTAAGAAGCTGATAGACTTGAAGACTGCTTGGGTGGGGCCTCAGGGCAGTGTCTTTAGTCACTTGCAGCTGTGCTGTCAGGATCTGCCTTGCTGCCTGAGTAGCAGGAAGGGTTTGAGCAGGCAAGGCCTGGGAGTGACCATCCCTCCTCTGTGGGACAGAGCACAGGCTCATGGCACCCCAGGTCCTTGGTTCTGTTATGTCACCAAGGTCATCACAGGAGAACAAGAAGCAGCTCCCCCTCCACGCTCTCCATAGGAGCACAGGTGCCAATCTGCAGAGTGGTTTATGGGGAGTATGGTGGTAAGAGCAACAGGAACAGGCTCATTTAGTTTGGAAATATTTCATGTTGTGTCAGGATGCCCCAGAAAAAGGACAGCCTGTGGGACCCTGGGACCTCCTGCCATGGCCAGCTCAACTTATTCACATACCTTGGACCTGGGGCTCCTCTCATTAGAGCCTGAACTAGATCACAGGCAACTGGATTCTTGGCTTTATAAAGTTTGCCTGGCTGTGACATCTTACTTTCCCTTCACAGAATTAACTTCAAAAGGAGGAACATCATGCCCAGATACAGACCCACAGTCTGATTCCAAGTCCAGGCTTCCTGCCCCAGCTGTGGGAGGGCAGAGGCCAAGCCTGCGCCTGCCTGCATGTCCAAAGGCCCCCCTCATCAGAGACTAGCGGCATGTTCTGCCCACCCCGCTTTGCACAGGGGAGGACAGAGGCCCTCATAAGCCCTCCAGGTGCAGCAATCGCAGAGGAGTTAGCACTCCAGTCTCCGAGGAGTAGGGTACCTGGACAGCTACTGGGAGTTTCTTTGATGAAGAATAAGCACTCAAAGCAAAGGAGTGAGATCTGGCCAAGTCTGGGACATAGTTCATGGCCAAGTCCAATGTGGGTGTTTTGTTTTCTCACCAATGTTCCATAATTATGTAAGTTGTTAATGGAGGAAATTTGGGCAGGGTCTACAAGAACTCTTTGTATTGTTCCTATACTTTTCTGTGCATCTCAAATTTGCAGAAAGTTACACATCTGTTTTATATAATCAAGAAATCTCATCCTAATTAGCCACTCAAGCAGTTCTAAGCAGCACATATGTTTTATTTAGGAAGTCATAAAATACTTAAAGTTAATGACACATGAGCTAAATGACATGAATGTGGCTTTAAAAAATAAACAAACAAACAAAAAACATGCAGTGATAGGCCACCAACTGTTTTCCCATCATGGTTTGCTCATCCCAGAGAATTTACCACAAGACACAGTGGCCTCTTACCCACTAGAAGAGAAGGATGATCTGGCCTCACCTGGGAGCCCTCCAGGACCCCATGAGCCTCCTTGTCCAGGTCCAGCTCAATGGGGGGCAGGCCTTGGTCACTGCCGTAGATCAGGTACACACGCCCAACCTGGAAGTGGCCAGGTTGGCTGTAGCCGGGTGCACCCACCACAAGGTCACCATGCCCATCTTGGTTGAGGTCCGCTGAAGCCATGGCCCTTCAGAAAGAGAAGGACTCAGGCGGTCACCACCACATAGGGCAGTAAAACTGCCTGCCACCTCTTTGCTCTCTAGAGCCCACTGTTTAATTTTCTCTCACTGATCACCCTAAGAGGCCATATTGTCCGCATGCCACACAGTTTCACTCTGGAGGGGAAGCTGAGCACATCGCAGCTTCCAACCGGCATCTCAGGACCTCGGAACCACTCAAAGCATCACATCCTCTGGCTCTCCGAGATCAGGGGACAGTCAAACCCTGTGCAGCCACCAGCTGCTCTCTGGTATGTTCAGTTCATGTCAGTGTCATGCATAAAAGATGAGCCTGTATTTATTTCTACCAGACCTACAGAGGGCGACTTCGACTGGGTTAACTCGAGCACCCAGCATTGTTAGCGGATGCATCCAAACGGGATTCATGACCCAGCAGTGTACAGAGATAGGCAATCAGCATCAGAGGTTCAAAGGTCACGATTAGGGCTGGAAAGTCCAAAAGCCCTGTGCTTACTCCAGCCCCCTAGAGAACAAATAGGACAGACAGAGAAGCTGAGCAGTTTCGGGCTAGATGCCTGCTGGGAGGGGCAGAATCCTCAGTGCAGCCACACAATTCTCGGCTCCCAGATCCGCTGTGCTGGCCTGCTGTGGATGGCTGCCTACGTAGCTAACAGCCCTACAGCAGGGCTTCTTTGCCCTTTCAGAAAGCTGGCCAAGAACCACCACTGGCAAGTGGATGGCAGGAGAGGGGTGGGGTTTATGCCCCTACGCCCGGCCTCCTGTGCCGGAACTGAACACATCAGGGACCCAAAAAAGGAAGGAGGGTGAGCTGCTCCAAGAAACAGCATGTCATACAGATTTAAGGAGTGTGGATTTAATAAAGGGTATCACCAAATGCCCCAGAAAAAATGTTGTATAATTGGGCCAAGTTTTAGATGAACGTTTATTTATTTATTTAATGTACTTGGTACAGGGTCTCACTATGCAGCTTGGACTCACAGTGAACCTCCTTTCTCAGCTTCCCCAGTGCTGGGATTACAAGCCTACACTACCACACCTGGTCTTGGGCCAGCTCAGCACGCCCGGGGCGGGGCTGGCACAGCATGTGGTGCTAGGATCCAACACCCCTCAACCCCTGTCCCTGTGCTTGCCTAGGCAGGCACTTAGTCCACTGAGCTATCTTACTGACCCTCGCTTTATCTTTAAAATGGCTTATCTGTTATAATTTTCTGATGATGAGTTAATTGAAAAATAAGGTGGTAAGAGATGCTATCTGTGGATAAGTGAATGAGACGCAGATGGAAACACCCTCAAGGCAGATAAACTTACACATACCAACCAAGCCTGGCATAGGGCAGGGACAGGAAGTAAGATGCTGAGGGCGTGGAGACATGCTTCAGGGAGTTCTGGGAGCTGCCTGTGAACATGGTCCGCAGGTTCCTCTCCAAATTCTGGTATACAAAGGTTATGGAATCCTGAAATAAGAGTTATCATAGACAGGTAAACACACAGCATAGCCAACAAAAGCTACTGAGCCTTTGTAATGGAAACGAGTTTTTACAAGTGTTAAAAAATAAAACATTGATTCTATCAACAAGAAAGAGGGTAAGCAAGGAGAGGCACCCTGTGGCCCTGTCCCCATGGTTTCCTGACAGAGACTGGAGACAGAGCCCAGCGGGCAGGACCGGCACAGGAAAGGTCATCTAGGACATAGTACTATAAACCAAGTCAGGATGGTCTCCAATGGTTTATAGAATTTAACTGAACAAAATATCTTATTTTCTTTGAGAAAATAAGTTTGCACCATAATGCTGTTTGCGTATATGTACTTGTTTTTCTCCAAACAAATGAAACTATACCATCACGGGGACAGCAGAAACACCCTCTAAACCACACACATATTGAGATGCCACGGCTCATGGTTGGAAAGTCCAGAAACAGGTAGGCCACATGCACAGCCAGAAGCTGTGGCCTAGAGGAGTGGGGGGGGGGTACGAGCCCCTCAGCTTGGTGTGCTCAGTTGTCCCCAATGTGCTTGCTGCAGCATACAGTCTGCTCCACAGCCTGGAGCAAACTGGCCGGGTAGTAGATGCATCCGAGCGAAGAGGGTGCAGCCCTGGTCACCCGCAGGGACCACAGGGCAGAACCCAACCCCAGGCCCCACCCACAGCAGAGCAGAATCCCTGCTTGAGTTCTTGATGATTGTCACCTTGCTGCAGTAAGATGGGCTCTCAGGGCTCTGCGAAGTTGCAATTCTCCCACTGACAGCAGCGCCGCAGATTTCCCATGTACCTATTGACCATTTGCATTTCTGCAGAGTGACTCTTAATTTCACTTGCCTGTTTTTGATAGTCTTTTACTTTGGTGGGTCTAATGTTGTTGAGTTGTTCAGATAGTCTAGAGATTAGTCTATCCAAGGAGTAGCTAACAGTCATCTTTTTTCCCATTTTGTAGGTTATTTCTTCATTTTCTTGGCTGCTTCCATTGCTGTGCAGAAGCATTTTAATTTGATCTGATTCCATTTGTGGATTCTGCATGGTGTTTCTTCTGCAAACAGGGCTTTACTCAAAGTCCTTACCTATGCCTATGTCTTCAATAGGTGTGCCAATTTTCCATGAGATTAAGTATTTTAATATTAAGTTTTAATATCCTGGTCATTTTTATGTATTTAGTACAGGGTCTACAGGGTCTCACTATGTAGATTGGATTTTTCATGTCCATTAAGATTTGCTTTACATAGTTGGGTGCTCCCATGTTTGGTGCATACATATTTATGAGTGTTACCTCTTCCTCTTGAATTTTTCCCCTAACTAGTATATAGTGGCCTTCTTTATTTCGCTTGATCATTCTTGGTTTGAAGTTGAGAATGTCTGAGAACAGGATTGCTACCCCTGCTTTTTTCTGAGGTGCTGGGGCATGTAGTATTGTTTTCCATTCTTTGACTTTCAGCCTATGTCATATTATATGTCTCGGTGTGTTTTTAATTGGATTGAGGCTACTTGGCATTCTGTATGCTTCGGTTACCTGAATGTCAGATTGTTTCCTCATATTTGGGAAGTTTACTGCTATTACTTCTGCCTATGTATGTCTTTATGAGTTAAATGTGTTTCTTGTATACAGCATATTGTTGGATTTTGTTTCCTAATGCACTGTGCCAGTCTATTTCTCTTAATTGGTGAATTGAGTCCATTTACATTGATGGTTATAATTGAGATGTATTGACTTACGATTGATATGTTATTTACCTGTTGTCATTTACTCCTTTTTTTCCCTGTGTTTAATTGTTTGCTCTATTTAGTTGGTTGCATCTGATCTCATTCGTGGAGTTCTGGTCATTTTGGTCCCTCTCTAGAACATCTTTCAGGAGCCTATGTAGGGTTAGGTTTGTCATCATGAAATTCTTTAGTTGTTCTTTGTCATGGAAGTATTTCACTTCTCCATCAAACTTGAAAGAGAGTTTTGCAGGGCATAGTAGTCTGGGCTGGAATTTGTTTTCATAGAGGACTGGAAGTACTCTGCTCCATGCTCTTCTTGCCTTCATGGTTTGTGAAGAGAAGTCGGCTGTAATTCTGATGGGTTTTCCTTTGAATGTGATTTGCTTCTTTTCTCTAGCGGATTTCAGTATATTATTCTTGTACTGAATTTCTGGGATCTTGACTATTATATGTCTCAGTGTGTTTTTCATTGGGTTGAGGCTACTTGGCATTCTGTATGCTTCGCTTACCTGAATGTCAGATTGTTTCCTCATATTTGGGAAGTTTACTGCTATTACTTCTGCCCATATTTTTTTAATGTCCTTTGCATTGACCTCTTCTTTCTCATTGATGCCTATTAGTCTCACATTGTTCACCTTTGCATCGTCTTGGAAGTGATGAATTATTTTTTTCTGCATCCTAGTTGTTTTTAAGAGATCTTTTCTTACATTTTCACTAGCTGCACCAGCATCTTCAAGATCTGAAACTGTCTTCACTTTCACTTAAATGGTTTTGCAAGCATGTGACTGAGATTTTAAGTTCCTCTATGTTTCTTTGACTCTACTTCATGCGATCTATTTCTTTCCTGTATTGCTCATTCAAGGAATCCATCATTTTTCTAATCTCCTCTATTTTTTATCAATGTCTTCTTCGAAGCAGTTATAAATTCTTTTACTGTAGTTTTCTTCAGATTGGGTTTCCTCCCTATGTTTCTGTAGTTGATTCTTTACTTCAGATGCTATGAGTTCAGAGAATTCTTTTTTTATTTCAGAAAAGAATTCCACTCTGAATTCCTCTATAACTTTCGCTGTTGCTTATTTACTATCGATGCTATTAATTCATACATTTCAGCTGAACTAGTTTCCTCTGCACTTGTTCTGGGTGGGCATTGGGTTTCCTCCATATGTTTCTGCATTGGATTCTTTACTGCAGATGCTATTCAGGGATTTCTTTTTTCATTTCCAATCTGAGTTCCTCTATACCTTTCTGCAGTTTTTTCTTTATTTCAGAAGCTGTTGATTCATTGATTTCAGCTGTGTGATTCCCAATTTGTTCTGTGCTAGTGTCCTCTGCACTTGTTATGGGTGGGCTTGGAGTCTGAGATTGCATTTTGCTCCTTCTTGTTGTCATTTTGTGTCACACTATCTTCTGACCTTTGTCGTAGAGCTTAGGTGCAGTTATAACCTTGCACCTACTGAAAATAAGATGCAGATCTACAAAGTTTGGATTTATCCTGCTGTGCCTGGCTTGGGTCTGGCTGCTGTGCTCAGCTCCTTCCTGCTGCCGCCCTTGGGAGTGATTCTGTTGTGACCCTCTGGCAAGATGTTCTGCTTCTGGATTAGCTGGGTGATTTTGTCCCCTACACTCTCTGCAAGGATTGCAGCTGCAGCGTTTCACCCCAACTGCAGCGTTTCACCCCAGCCCTGTAGTCAGGGCCTAAGCTGAGTCTGGAGGGGACAAGGTGGAGTAGGGGGGAGAGGAAGCTCTCCCATACACTCACCAGGCCTGGGCTAGGGCTGGATCTGGGGGTCCCCAGTACGCAGCAGAAATTCTCACTGGGAGGGCGGGGTGGCGGAGTACTGCAGAGTGGTGTGGGAGGCCCAAGGGGATAGAAGGGGGTCTCACCCACACTGCGCCTGGGCTTGGACCTGCAGGTCCCGCTGGCGCAGGGTAGCAAGAAGCTCTCCCACACACTCACCAGGCCTGGGCTAGGACTGAATCTGGAGGTCCCCAGAACACAGCAGAAATTCTCACTTGGTGGGTAGGGTGGGGGGTGCTGCAGAGTGTTGGGGGGGCCCCAAGGGGGTTGAAGAGGGTCTCACCCACGCTGCTTCTGGGCTAGGACCGGTAGGTCCCGCCGGCGCAGGGTAGCAGGAAGCTCTCCCACACACTCACCAGGCCTGGGCTAGGACTGGATCTCTCACTATGTAGATTGGACTCGTAGTAATTTCTCCTGTTTTCAACCTCCCAAGAACTGGGATTACAGGCGCACGCCACTATGCCCAGTCTCAATTGCCATCTCATCCAATTGTGCCCCAGAGGCAGGGCCGGCATGGCACACATGCTGGGGATCGCATGCTGGGGTTCGAACCCTGGCCCCTTCATCTGCCTAAGCAGGTACTTTTTAATCCACTGAGTTATCTGGCCAACCCCTAATATCCTGGTCTTTGATCCTCCCCTCCCCCCTTTTTCAGTGATATCAGGGATTGAACTTGGGACCTTGGGCTTTCCAGGCAGGCATAATACCACTGAGCTATATCCCTGGCCCACTCCATTTTTGTTTTAGTGCAAATGAGAGTTATGGGTCTCAATTCAATCTTCTTGCATCTGTAGAGCCAGTTTTCCCAGGATCATTTGATAAGAAGTTATCTTTCCTCCAGCGTATCTTTTGGCTCCTTTGTCAATGATCAGGTGACTGAATGCCTCACATTGTACTTGTGTCCTCATTCTGTGTTCTAGTTTCCAAACATTCTGAAACTTTCCCAAGCCACAGCCACAAGTGTACTCTTACTAGTGAAGTACTAACCACTGCCCAAATGCCACCTTTTCTCAGAAGCCACTTCTGACTGCCTACAAGGTCAAAAGGGCCTATCTAAGAGCCCTTTACCCCACTACAGTATTTGGTGCATTCTATCTAAAAGTGATTTTTGTTTTTTTGTTTTTTTAGTCTGTCACTTTTATCAGCCTGGAATCTAAAGATTGATCTATTTCTTTTTCATGGTATAGCCCCACAGTCATGTGGCCTCACATAAAAGATGATTCCATGGATATAGTAGGGTCCCTCCCCATAGGGCTGCACACAGTGGGCCTTCCACATGGCTGACAAATGTGGACCTAGGCCAAAGCGTGGCTGGTCTTGGTGTCCAGGGCCAACTTGGGCTCCCCTAACTGGACAAAAGCCAATGAGTTCTTGACTTAGGGCATCTCTAGGTCAGACTACATATAGAGACCAAGGCCATTCGCTGCCCTGGCGCAAGCCGGGGGAACTTTCCTAGACCATCAATACCCAGGGTGTCCACAGGGGGCCACACAAGCAGCTGTGTGCACCTCTGTCTCCATCAGAGGTGAGGGTTCTTACCGGAGTCCAGGAATCCACACTATAGAACACGCCTCTCTCCGTATAGTTGATGTTTTTTCCAATGTGTTTGGTTACAGGCATAGTCAGATTCCTATGGAAACCATTTCTCTGTGCTCTTGGGCTGTTAAGAGAAAGGACCAAGATGGTTAAGACTGAGACAGTAACCAGGCACCTGAACTACTGAGTTGAAGACTATAGTCACATTAACCACAGGTTAAAAGTCTACAGAATTTCAACATTTGCAAGCCAGAGAAATGACACATATCAAAAATCTTAGAAAAACCTTCTAGTAAAATCTTTTATTGAATACATGCAAAAGCTTAAAAATCTTTACTTATGATAATTGCTGCTTCTGAGGCAGGTCTAGCTCAGAGCTCAAATGTAAACTTAGCAGGCGTGTGGTCCTAGGTTCAAACACCAGCACCAGCACCCAAAAACCCCAAAAGACAAACAAAAAGCCTGACATTTTCTGTAGTCTTACAGTTTTTCAGTATGAAGAAAAGATTTCAAATTAAAGATATTTCAATATTTCACACAAAAGAAACAAGTCTATAGCGGGTAGGGAAAATAGTATATAGACATACTGATTTACCTTTAAAGATATGCTAATCCAATAAAAATTCACCAAATCAGATATCTTAACCAGCCTACAAACCAGATGCCCACAGGAGCCAAAAAATCTTCAGACATGGTGCAACAGAAGGCCAGCAGCTGCCACAACCACGGGGACTCTGGAAAAATGCCAGGGAGGGCAGGACGCTGATGTTGCTAGCCCACGAGCCCATGGTGCGCATTTTGGTCTCCTTGCTTTGTAACGCAGGGACTTGAAACGAGGGCTTTTGCACTGAGCTGCATCCCAGGGCTTTTCACTGATTTTTCACTGACTTTTTGTATTTTATTTTTTTCTGGAACTGGAGGCCCTTGCCCTTGCCAGGGAAGCGCTTATTCTATTGAGTCATATTCTCTGCCCCACCCAGGCCTTTTCAAAGGGTTGTTTTGTTTTGGTTTTGATTTTGAGACAGAATTCCAATAAATTGTCTGGACTGGGTTCCAACTTGAAATCCTCCTGCTTCTGCCTCTCAGAGTGCTAGGATTATAGGCATGTGCCACTATACCCAACTTCAATTCAAAACATTTTTTAGAAAATTAAGAAAACAACCAAACTTACTTGCTTTGAGTAATAAAGCAAGGAGGATTTACCTGAACTTTTCTGCATCTTCTAAGTTTCTTTGAAGGCTAGGGTCACTCTTCTCCAGGCTTCTCACTACAACGTCCTCGTTTTGCATTTCTAACATCTGCTCACCCTGAATTACCTTGCAATCTCTTCCAGCGCAGCTCTCTAGAGGCCTGGGATGGGACCTCCGTGGCACTTCCAGGTCACCCTGTGTTTCTCCCTGAGGCTCATGGGCATTTATATTGACCTGTTCCATGCCCAGGCACCCACGTGGCCACTTACCCCGAGAGCAGGAGACACCTGTTCACAGCGCTCTCTTGCACCGAAGGGAGCTCCTGGCATCCAGTGACTAATACCCGCCATTTCACTATTTGTATTATTTTAGTCGGATATTTTGGTAATAATATATGTGCTTTCTATTAACAACACAAATGAATGACTGGCGGTTGGTACCCACTGGCACCAGCAGGAGACACCAGCAGTACCCCGGGTGAAAGTTGGGAAGGATTATGAAGAACAATGACAATGACAACAGCATGAAGAATACTAAGCATTGCTAGAGAGCAAGTCACTGTGTGCAAAGGGAAAAAGCTACACCTCAAAAGCTTCAGCATCTTGCTTAAAAGTCACTGGGTTGGGCACGGTGGCACAGGACTGGAACCCCAGCTCTAGGGAGGCTGAGGCAGGAAGATCATTGCGAGTTGCAGACCAGCCTGAGCTACAAAGTGAGCTCAAGGCCAGCCCAACCTGCATGGTGAGACCCTGTCCTAAAAAAGAAAAAAAGAAAAAAAGATTTAGCCTACTTATGTGATGAGTCATCTCTCAAAATGTACATGTCCTCATGAGGCTAATATTCTGCTAAAGATGTCTCTATATAGCTGACTGGTGAATTTTGGATCACTATTATTCCTATTCTAATTAGCAGCATTATTAAAATTATACATTCCTTAAGCCATAATTGTATATTGGGCATGAGGTATGGGGACAGATTTATAATTTACCATATGTAATCCCCCCCACCCAACTTGTGGCAGTCAAGTGTAGCTCACAATTTACTAGCTGCCCCTTGAAGGGCACAAAGGCCCCCCACCTGGGAGTCACTGTTGCAGAGAAGAGAATTCAATGTGAAATTTCATCTCCTAACACTTTCACTTTTATTTTCATTCTGCCCAGCTCAGAAGTAGAAATTGCCGAGTGAATCCTTCAGTAAACACAGAATAACAGTTGGGGAAACTTTTAATACTATTAATTTTCCTGACCAACTAGTTCAGAATCATCACTAACAAAATATGTGGGCCTATTAAGTTTCTGTCCTCATGTGCTTGAGTAAGAATTGTGACTAACTATAGTCCATGAATTGTGAGAAAAACATGTATCTTATTTGGGACAGAACCCTTAATTGATGGTGTAACATGCTATCAAGCACTATTATATCTGTGAGAAGTATGCCAAATTATGGATTTGTCAACATTCCTCATGTCCAGGGTACAGCTGTGTCTTAAGGAAAGTATGCTACTGCTATTCAGAATAGTACTAATAGTGACCTAAAATCCATTAGTCTGTAACAATTCTACAGTATTGTATGGGCTGTATTTTAAGCATCTGTCATTCTAACATTAGTGGTTAAATGAACTTTTTGCTAATTGAAAAAAAAAAAAGAAAATCAAAAAGAAAGAAAGAAGTCACATGCTCTGCATGGCAGAGGCAGAACTTGAACAGATCTGGCTCTATGTACCCTCCCACTCCGGCGACCACTCACCTGTGGCTGTTGTTTCGCTGGTCACCACACGCAATGAACAGAGGGTTCTCGGGAAGGTCGCAGTTGCTGGGGAATAAATAGTGTGATGTGTCAGGCATGTATCCACCTTCTTTAAAAGCATGCATTTTACTGACAGTCAAGGGTACAGTTTAAGCCCCCCTAAAAAAGCGCAAGGTGTTCATTGTCTGGCCAGACAGGTGCCAGTAAGAGCCTAAGTCTCTCTGGACAGGGAGGCTAAGGTGACTGTGGTTCAGGAAAGGGTCCCACAGCCCCGTGTCTCAGCCTCACGCCTTGCCCAGCTCTCACCCTGCCAAACCACTTCGGCTAATGTGAGATGTCCTGGAATCTGAGGCAATGGAATCACTCCCCTCTGCCTGATCTTCCATCCTGCTATGCGCATTTCCACTCAAGTATGTTGTCTGAGTTGCTCAATTTTCTCTTTTAAAACACTTCTAGAGCTGGGCATAGTGGCACACACCTATAATCCCAGAACTGGGGAGGCCGAGACACAGGAGGGTTGCTGTGAGTGCAAGGCCAGCCCCAACTAGGAAAAAAAAAATCATACGAGTTAAACAATTACATAAGAAACAACGTAGCCCCATTTGGAGCAAAGACACCCTGAGTCACTGGGGTGACTCTTCCCACAGGGGTGTCTCTGGGTCTGAAGAGAAGCATTGGGGCAGGGTGTTTGTCTTCCAGGAGTGTCCTATGAGAGGCTGCGCTGAAGATGTGTAACTGTGTATGGCGGTCACCTGGGAGGCTCAGCAGCCTAACAGTAGGAGAGAGCACAGGATGAGGGAATGTGTGACAGGAAAGATTGCAGAAAAGGAAG